GGAATCTTTATAAGATATGCTGAGTTCACAAACCCAGTGGATAAATAATCAGTTCACAAAACTGTGGTTATTTTGCTTCTTGAAATAGTACTAAATTACTGAAACACATGAAGCAACAAATATGCAGTATCTTGGGAATGTATGGAAAAGTATGGCAACAACACAGTACATGAAAACACAGAAGTTAAAGAAATCAAAAAGGAAGCCTTTGAAACTCTTCTTTGATAGGGAAATCTTAATCTCCTTTCAATATAAGGCATAGTGGTATGTCTATTTCCTGATACCAACTCCACTATTTTTCTTGTTACCTGCTACTAAAACACATGTGCTGTTTGAAGGCAGACTTACCTCTACGAATGCTACAGTCAGAATAAGGTCCGTTTTGGAGTCTGGGAAAAGGGCATTCACTTGTGGAGACATTCCAATCAGGATGCAATTCGTAACCACTGATATTACACTCATAGTTTCAAAAGCCAGCTGAAATAAAACACAAATATATTTACAGTTATGACCTTTATCTCTAATTTATTAGCCCCTAAATTGCTCTGGACAATACCTCTCTCTGTTAAATCCTCATAAGATCCATTACTTTTTTTTTTTCTTTGTCTTTTGAATACTACACGGTAAGACTTGTTTGGCAAGCAGTCCAAATTTCACCACCTTTCAGAACAGACAAGGACAATTCCACAACAAGACCACCCGGCAACCCTGAACTTTCCTCTGCTTTGGTGTCTCTCTGTGTGCGAATGCGTGTTTGCGGTGAAGGAGTTAAACAGTCTTCTTCCACAATGTTACACTGCTGTAAAGACCTTGAAAAGTTATTTACAGACCAGTATTTTAGAGGTAGGTAATGCCAGATCACCTCCTCAAAAATTTGGAATAATCCTGAAGGAAAAAAGTGGCCCAGAAAGCAGCCTTATCCCTGGTATCTGCGTAACTTATAACCTGAACACACAGAAAAGAATGTACTCATCTATCATTGCATTGAACACACATTTCTTTAAGAAAAAGGAGGGGGAAAAAAAGCAAAATTCCTAAAATAGCTAATGGTCCAAACACTCTGGTTTGGGGGTTTGTCTGAATGTTAAGTAACAGGAAAATGTAAGGATGATTCAGAATGCCTTTCTTAAGTCAAAACCAGTTACACAAGCTGAAATGTGTTGAAATAAAAACTTACACTTAAATGCATACAATTGCCTAAGTCCAAGAAGGTCTTGCCTGCAGAGCTCACACAAAATGTCTGAAAATATTACTATAGCATGACAACCACTTCTGCAATATAATGGTTACCTATTCCAAGACCTATCTGGAATGAGACTGACATTGAATTGTAGCAACTGTCACAATGAATTAGATGTAACTTCTCCCTTGACAACAACTTGGTGACTCAGATCACCTGATAATTCCAGTATTTCTTTCACAGAAATCTTTCAGCCAACTTCCCACATCAAACAGATTAGTAAAATTTTAAGTCATTACTTTTAATTCACAAAGCAAACGCATTTCTACAATTACTTTAAAATCTACACTATAAAAAACCCAATGTGACTGCACCACTAGTGTTCAGTTTTTCAGCCTGCTCCCTAGAACTAATCAAATTACTCCAGCAAAATCAAATGCTACTAAAATACTGTCAGCCAGTCTTGGGACTTAGGACCACAGCCTCATTTAACTGGTGATCACACCACTGGTCAATGCAGCTAAGCCAGCAAGACGTTGGAAGCATAGATTTGGACTAAGAAAATGCATCACACGTTAAAATACAATCAGATTGTAATTTACACATTTTGATGACAATATTAAAAGACCCCTGTAAGACCACTTCATCAGTACCTATGTACACATTTAATGGCCATTGCTCAGAATAGTTTGCCTGTTTTTACAGTAAGTTTCATTTGAGGTCTCCTGATTTCATTTGGCACCTACATTTACAGCCCCTCCAAATTAAAAAATCCACTAGTTTATTGTGCCCTTTGTCTCGATTATATATCATTAGAAAAGCTATTAGATAAAACTAGAACATGGATCATCCCCTACAAATCTCCTCCAACCTACATCACATTCATTATTAGACCACTGCTGTTTTGGAATGCTAAAGTGTCTGGATGTAGCTTAATAGCCTTCTTTCTTTTCAGAAAACTTTTTTTTTTTTTTTTTTTTTTTTTTTTTTTTATACACTTGTTTTTTTTTTAAAAAATTTTTTTTTTTTTTTTTTTTTTTTTTTTTTTGAGTACTACAGTTATTTTTAGTCAGCATCCGTTCACTGAGGCAGCACAGTCAGCAGGCTCTGAACTAGCTGGTGCTAGCGTGACTGCGTGGGCAAACAACCAAGGATGGAAAATCCTTCACGCTCTACTACTAGCATCAAACTGTTTAGCTAGACTACAATGATCAAGCTGTGCAGAAAGGTCCATCTCCTACTCACAGGTCCAGGTTATTCTAAAATTAAGTCAGCTTGAGTTCAAGTCATCACAGGGCACACAGAAGCATGGCTTCGCAATCAAGTACTTACCTATTGTTTTTAATTTTTTTAAAAACCCTTGCTGAGCTCCAGACTTCAGAGATGGCATCAGATGTTAGCATTTCTAAAATGTGTTGTCTGTGGAGAGCACGAGGCAGTATGCGGCAGCTTTGCTTTGTTGCAGTTGCAACAGGAGATCAATACATAGATGCACAAGGACTAAAGGATTTATTTTCTTTTCAAAGCAAATTGAAAGACATGTGGTCAAAAATCCTCCAAAAACATCACTTGGATATACAGTTGGATAGATACTACCCTAAGGCATTGAACAGAACAAAGTACCTACTAAGCTTTAAAGTGGCTTAAATACATTTGCTGAAATCTCTTTTAAAAAACAAATGAATACAAAAAAAAGACATAAAAGTTACCTGCCAAACACCAATATTTGCTGTGGGTTCTGCAAACGGACGCTTGTAAACTCCACACATCTTTAAGGCATCAGAATATATCTCTGTGATGTTGTTTAACACTGCAAAAACAGCTGCCAGGGGATAAACACTTGAGAAAAGACTCACATAGCCAAACTGTAAGAACAACTCCAGGTAATCATCAAATGTACCCTGAAAAAAGAGCAAAAATAAGAACAACTTTAACCCACAAAAAATATATGAATAAACAATACAGCTGTAAACATGCTTCCTCATCCCAAATCAGCTGAGAATGACTTGTGATAGAAAACAACAACAACAAAACCCTATCTAGTTTATTTTGAATTATTAAATTACTCAGAACTTCTTAATAAATGCACGTCAAGGGTCTTCCTTCTGCCTAATGCATTTTCTGCAATGGTCACACTACTTATTATATGAAGTACCTGTATTAACACATTCATTTCATCCAAGTTCCTGACTATCTCAGTGAAACACTTACTGAAGGAAGAGTGGGGGAAAGGAAAACAGCACCATACATTTAAACTGGCAGAACATACCCATAAGAGCATTGAGACAAGAAAAATCCCAGTATTTCAGACTGCCCATTAAACACCTAACCAGAAAGGTAGATAAACAAATACCAGAAAAGAGTTGCCTATTTCAAAATGGGCAAGTCAGAATTAGTTGCCCACTTGAAGGTTGAAACTGCACAATGACATCTGAATAGTACAAAAAAAAAGCACCCTGTTTTGGCAAATCCACAACACATCTGTCACCTGATCTATAAACCAAGAATATGGGTACTTAAATGCTGATTAAGTATTCACATGTAGGTTATGAGATATATATTTACATACTAGTTTTGTAGTATTAATAAAGTTTTCTATGATTGCAGAGATTATTTATGAAAGTAAAGAACCAAATCTATAATTTTTAAATAGTGTTCACTGTACAAAGGATGGTGAACTAACACAAACTAGTTGAACTGGGATCTAGCTACCTTGTATTCACCCAGACCAACATAACGGCCTCTCTCAAAAATGAAATAAAAAAGACCTGACAATAACTGATATTGTTAAAGGAACCACATAAAATTGATTTTCACTCCATGCATCAGACATGGTTCTCTCATCTTTTTTGGTTACAGCTGTTGAACTGACTGTCCTCTCCAGCACTTAATGTTTTGGGGTTTTTTTATCTAGGAAACAGAGACACAGTAGAAGTCTGCAAGCTCAGAAATCAACATGGAGTGGTCATGAGCTTCCTTCTTCATCTGAGCTCATTTTCAAGCTGCACAGTGTAGCTGCATCTGACAAAACGATCTGCAGGAGCTACCTAAATTTTAAAGCCATTGAGATTTATCCACAGAAATGTTTTGTATGAACTCTGAATTTTAGTAATGTCTTCCTTAGAGATATTTGTGCAGCATCACTCACTGGAGTGCTAGTCACCTATCTGTCCTTGCTATCACCTTCTCAGACAACTGTTGCAGGTAGAAAGCAATGCTTCCCTTTGTGTTCCTCCCTTCTGGAAACTGTACAGTATCGCCACTGATTCCTCACACCTTTCTTCTATTTTCCTTGCCCAAAACCTACTGACTTTTAGAAAAGCAGAGTATGAAAAGAAAAGGAGCATTTACTTTTCTCCTACTCCTTTTATGTCAGTTTGTGCAGGAAAAAAAGAGTCTCTAAAAAAATTTCAGAGTGTGACATTGTCAGCCACAAGAGCAGCACATAAATGACGACATCAAGAAAACAAAAATTCAGGGAGAAAACTACAGAAGTGGAAATTTTAAGAAGGTTAATTAAAAAATTATTGCAGGACGTTTTTACATCTTAAACTGGGTTAAAGCCTGATGATTCAAAAAGTGAAAGAGGACAAACAAAAAAGGGAATTAAACGTAAACAAATAAGTGAAGGAAGGAAATCAAAAAGACAATAGCCAGAAACGCAGAATCCTGTCAAGACTCCTGCTAAATTCCTCAGTTACTTAACACAGTCAAATGCTTCCCCCTTGTGACAGATTTGACTTTAGAAATACCTGTGGCCACTGACAGCACACTGCTTTCAAACACATCAGTGGTCTAATATTGCATATTCACAAGCACAGCACAATTAAAATCTTTATACTGAAAATCAAGGACTTGAGTAGTCAGTTCCTTGAACGGAAACTGGGGCTAGCAGAGGACACCTTCAAGGCTAAGTCATAACTCTACCGTTGACCTGCTGGGTCCCCATGGAAAATTATTCAGGGCAGAATAGTACAGCAGGTGCAGCTACATTCAATGAGCTCTGCACAAGCAGCACTGGGCCGTGTGACTCGAGACACTGCAATGGCTTTGAACGTGCCAACTGAGAACCAGAAGTCAGCTCAGGTCTAAGAGGTAGAGCTTACTTTGTCAGGCACATTAATGCTTCTGGAGCCGTGCTGGCCTATTTGCAGGCACAGTGCTGGACTATGCTGATTTACAGTTTCAGACACTACCTCTGGGATTTCTGACGTGTTCTTCATTGTAAGACAGACATGCTCTCTAAATCCATCTCCTTCCATATAAAATGTGATAAACACTAACCTTCCCAGAGGAAAGCAAATAATAACATTTGTACAGTTTTTCAGTTGCAAAGGTAGTATTCCTTCTTCTCCTTCCCATTTCACAACACCTTTATTCAGGAAGAGAGGAATCTGATACAGTACAAATACCAAACTTCACATGCCTATTCTCTACCTTTTATGTAAAATGCACACTATTAATAATTCTTATTCTGTAAAAATATGGAGTATAAATCATACAATATTGAGACTCTGCCTATGCTTCATCTGATGCAATATCTGATCAAGCAAGTTGTTGGCCAGTCTACAAGGCCTTAACATACATACAGATGTCTACTTTGTCAATTCCTTTAGAACTGCAAGTAATTAATTGTACTTGGTAGGAGGTGGTCAGGAATGGAACTAGGAAGACAGTGAATGTCAAAGCTGTAGTTTCAAGAAGCAAGAGCTTCCAATAGTAGTATTGGTTTAAAGTTGGTCTCTTCTGCCTTCTGCATTTCTGGCCTCACCCAGGCATGAATGCACTCTCTCAGGCTATAGTTTAATTGACAGTTTAAACAAGTATCACTGCAAAACCTAACTAAAACAGAAACAGCCTCCTCCTTCCCTAGGCCAGACTACCTTGGGAGATTAAGAGCATATTACACAAATACTTCTTCCAGTGATACAGGGTTTGGTAGCTCCAGTTTCAGCTGTTCATTCCTACCCCTCTGTTCTGGTGTAAAGGAGTCCCTGCAGCTTTCACGATCCAGTGCACTGTAGAGCTGTATAAACAACATGACCAGCAAAACAGATGAAGCTGGAATAAGATGCCAGGCCAGACATATTTTAGGTTGTACTGGCTGATACCTCTGTCAACTACAGCTTAGAAAACTTGTAACTTTTCTACAGTAGTAATACATACAAAATAGGTGCCCATTTCTTTCTCCAGGTTGACTTGTTCAACTAATGACAGGTCCATATCCGTTTTCAGAGAAGACATCTGTTTCTTCATCCTCTTCTTATGTCTCCTTTGGAGCCAGTAAGGAAGCAAGGATTCTGCAAACTGATTAAGGATCTGCGAAGTTATCAGCAAAGTAGCCAAGCTCTTGTTTAAAGGGAAAAAAAAAAAAATAACAGAACTGTGATAAACCTGTGATTATTTCCAATTTTGTGCATTCTAGTATGACCATAAGTTGTTAACACTCTGACAAAAGAAGGGCAGCCAAACAAAACTAGCAACAGCATATAAAATGTGTTCTAGTTCCCATTCTGTGCAATGTGCTGGGAAGACAACATAGGAGTAGAAATGTCTAAATATATTGAGGATCTTGATGTATCTTGGAGACATTACAGAAAGTCCAAAGAAGAATAAAGATGCACACTTAACATATGCCAATGCCAATCTCAGAGCTAAACAATTAACTTTTTTTTTCTCCTTGCTTTTTAATTAGAGAAGATGTTAAAATGTCACGTCTGGCATGTCATGTGTTTTTCTAGGGGTGTCTTTAGAGTGACAGGGATCTTGAGTTTAAATTCTTGTTGCTTTGTTCATTATGTTTAGAGCAAAAATATTTTCCTTATACCCATTTTTCATGCATTTGAGTGCAAAAGAGGTTAACAACAAAAAGCTGATTCAAAATACCAGCTACAAATTATTTTTGCTTTTATTTATTCTCTGATCCTCACTTAATCATGCCCATATCCTACAGATAAAACTATTTCCTAACATAAAAGCAAAGAAGGAACAAGTGTCAATTTCCAGTCTCATCTGAGTGAATAATCAATTTGAGAACAGTTCCTCGTTTATACAGAGGGAAAGAATTGCTCAAATCTGTTATGATTATGCAACTGTGCTAGATGAACTGAAATATGGAAGGTGGATTTTTAAGACAACATATATGAAATATTAATTTTTAGTATCTTAGAAAAATTATTAAAAACAAAATCATGTTTCAATCAATTCTTTATTTTCCTAGATTCATCAACACTCTTAAGATGTTCTTGGAACTCACCTGCCTCAACAACTTCATATCAAACAGCACAAAGGCAATGTAGAAGAGAGATGCAAAACAATTTAAGAAGTTGAACTGCAAATAAAAATATTGTCATTAGTACTCAAGCAAAAGCACAAATGCAAAATAACATCTAACTTAACAGTTACTTTGACTAAATAGCTTCCATGCAGAAGTAAGTTGTTCATTAAAATTTTCTTTAACATTTTGTCCTGGTTAGAACTAATTCTGTTCAGTGACTTTATTTTTCAGCTAAGTCTCTTTAACTAACTGCGCTTTCTAAATTTAACAGCATATTTTCACAGACAATGTCTGCTTCTAGCAGTGATAACACTTGATGTTTATAGTTACTACTAAGAACTGGACAAAAAGGCTTGGTTATACTTGTTCCTCTGAAGAACAAAGTCACTGCGAAATCTTGTGTCCCACAATGCAGGTACAGAAAGTAAGAGGTCACATGACAAGTTCTCTTTTAAAATAAACTTAAAAGCTGCTTACCCTACACACTTACCACTAAAACCTTCAGAATTAAGTGATTCTGATACGAAGATTCCAGCCTGTGATTTTCTGAAATAACAAAATTATTGATTAGTAAATAGCAGAAGCACTTAACATACTAGACATGGTTACATAAAGAGCAAGCAGACATTTTTACTCCATTAAAAAATTACTTAACTATTAGTTTACGGCGAATAGTTTATGGCAAAAATTTTATACTGTACCAGTAGCTCACTTAACCTGTTAAGTTTATCTGATATACACATCTCTGTATTGTGTTTTTGGCTAGAACTCCAGCGCTTTGCTACTGCAGAAGTTCTTTTCTTTACATCTTTTTTTTCTCAGAAAAGTTGTTTTGTAATAGAAAAAACATCCACTGTTCTTAACACTTAACAAAAAGTGACTAGTTATTGATTTTTCTTTGGCTGAAAACAAATGCAAAACTAATCAAATACATTGAGAAAAATAACGCCAGACTTGATTCAAAACCAGTAAATGCTCATATAAATATCTCCATTCCTCTCCAAGAGATTTGGATCAGATCTTAATCTCTACAGCAAGACTAGAGTATATAAAGTTCAACAGATGCATCACTCATTCTAAAATTAAGATTTTAATCTCATTCGAGTTAAACTGTCAGAAGCTGATATTTGGTGAAGGCTGGTTACTAGGAGGGGAAGAAATGGAAGTTGATGGGAGATTTCCCGTTTATTTTTGCTGTTTTCTTGGATTATACCTTTAAAGCCCTGGCTAAGCAGTAACTCAAAAGGCAGTACACTAGCATAAGCTGTGTCAACAAGGCTGAAAGGAGACACGTCACCTATGGACTTTGCTCATAACAAAACAGCATTGTTCTACTCTGACAGTGGCGTGAAGTTGGGCCTGACAAACAGAAGATGCATTCAAGTCAGTGAACGCAATTTTTACTTTTAGCTTTCACTAAGTGGTCAGTTCTCTTGCACCTCTTTATCACGAGGTGTGCTGCTGAATATATGAAACCAGCTTAAACCCAAAAAAATCTGGGTTAAAAAAAAACTTGGGACACCTGTTAAAGACACTTTAGTCTACCTAATCAATACAACTGGGTATTTTGCATAAAAGCTTTTTGTTGCATTATGGTAAAAAAAAAACAAACACTCAACCAAAACCTAGATATTAAAAGTTATTTAAATAAAATTCTTGAACAGCCATAAACAAATCAAGAATTTGCTTGCTTTTACTATTACTGTTGTCAGGTTGAATTTGCTGAGTGAATCATTTCGGCATGTGTAACCAGTCCTCACTTCAATACCTTTTTATTCTGTCTTCTGCAGGAAGAAGGAAATTGTCATCCATGTACTCTAGGAACCTCCTGGATTGCTGATGTCCTGGCTGTGCTGTCCTTCTAACAGATATCAGGGTGGCTGAAATCCCCCATGAGGACCAGAGCTCATGAATGCAAAGACACTTCTGTCTGTCTATGGAGAACCTCATGCACTTGGTCTTCCTGGTCAGGTGGCCTGTAGCAGACCCCCACTATGACAACACCTTCCCCTGCTCTCCCTTTAACCCTGACCCATAAACTCTCAGTCAGCTCCTCGTTCATCCCCACGCCAAATTCCATGGACTGCAGATGATCACTGATGTAGAAGGTGGCACCCCTTCCTCTTCTCCCCTGCCTGTCTTTCCTAAAGAGTTTGTATCCACCTATTTTCAGGCTCCAGCTGCAGAAGCCATTCTACCTTCTCTCAGTGATGCCAATGATATCATAACCCTGAAGGTGTGTGCACATTCATAATTCCTCTTGTTTGCTCCCCACCCTCGGTGTGTTTGCAACAGAGGCATTTAAGCTGGACTTCTATTGAAGCTGACTTACTAGCTGGAATCCATTATCTTGCACTTCAGCTGCTCTCCTTCTGGCCTTCTCCAGGCCCAGGGCATCTATTTCTGGCACCAGTCTAACTTAGGTTATAACACATAAGGCCAAATCTGTTAAATAAGTCACATGCAGAATGGAAAAAATAGGCAACCTATTGTAACATTTCTCCTCTACTGAGAATGCCCAAAGAAAATATTTTTATAAGGATGTGAAATCTCAGTCTTTCTCACACATGTATAGCATACACAAACACTCTCATATGAAATTTAGTTATGTTTTTAGATTCTGTTTCATTAATTTCAGTGCCTCCACCCTCTGCACAGATATATCAGTAGACTAAGATGTACTCAGCAAACCTGGGTTGTGGGTCACAACCTACAAGGATGGTCACTCTGGCCATCCACCTCCGAGCTCTCATCCTCACGATCTCACCTTGTCCCTTTTGCAAATACACTGTATTTGTGTCCCACTTTGGCAAATCCAGCCAAACAGAGAGCTAAATCAGGGAAGAGGACTCTGGCACCAAAAGCAGAAAGGTAGAAAGCGGCTGAGAAGGAAGGCAAGATCCCCACTTCTGATGGCATGCCAGACTCATACCAAATTAAACCAGACATGAAACTGCAGTCTCAGAAAATTCAAAATAAACATAAGTTAAAATAGCCATCTCTTTTTACCCCACAGTAAAAATCTACTTCAGGAAATTCCTTTAGCATTCCATTGTAATGTATTCTACAAAAAAAATGCTACACATTTGGGTTTTTAACTTTATGGAAGAAGAATAAACAACTTTCTCACCCCATGATGTTAAGAATTCAGCAGCACACCGATAGATACGGTTCATAATTTCGATCACAACAGCGTATATGATACTGGGCACAAACAGAACCAAGCTGCTTAAGTTCGACCCCTTCTCTTCATGATAATCCAGAGCCCACTGCTCCAAGTCAAAGTAAATCATCATCACGTACAGTGAGAAGTAGAGGCAAAGGCACACAAATGGTAAGGACACCAGATAAATCCGCATCTGTCTCTTAATGCTGGAGTACACCGGTTCCTCCCTTCCCGTTACAGGATTGATACCCAAGACACCATGGAAGCCTGGTCTCGGTTCTTCAAACTGTCGTTTCATCAACAGCGTCCCCCAACGGTATGTCATGATGGCACAAATCCGCTTCCAAACTTCCAGTATCACAGTGGACCAGAGCAGATTGAACGTGGCAAACATGACGTATTTGTCATAGTCTTCCCATGCAAACACATAGTAAGGAATCCCAATGACAGCCATTGGGATCAAAGCAAACGTGAAGTACTCTAAGAAGCCAAAGTACAGAGCAATGGTTTCGCCAAAGTAGCAGCGTATCTCATCTGCAGAGAAAAATGAATCAGTTAAAGGCTATACTTAACACAGAATGGTTTGGGTTGGAAGGGACTTCAAAGATCATCTAGTTCCAACCCTCCTACCATGTGCAGGGACATCGCCCACTAGACCAGGATGCACAAGGCCCCATCCAACATGAACTTCTTCCTTATATCTAAGTCTCATCTAATCTTCTAGTTTGAACCCATTATTCCTTGCCCTATTTTTTTTTTCTAAATAACACACTGAATATTATTGCTTTTTTATTCCTCCTTCTGCCATATTCAGAAAAACCTCAGAAACCTATTTGACAATTTTTTAAATGTTAGATATGTACTTACACAAACAGATATATTCAGGAAGTCAAATACCTCAATGCTTACCATGTGAACATCAGGTATTCAGAGGAAAAATAAAACAAACCAACACACAAATCCCAAACCACTAGCATTCTTGAAAACAGAATCTATCTAAGGAATGAGTAGGATATCATGGAAGATATTTGGTATAATAAACAAACTTTAACAGGAAGTGACACCTAACTTCTGAAGCTTCTCACTGGCACGTATACACCTGGGAAATAAATTTATTTCAGCCTGTTCAGGGCCAAAAAGCACTAATGCTTTGCCAGCCTTCAAGGAACTTAAGGAATATATGGAAAGGCATATTGAAATTTTAAGTCTTACACATCAGATAGCAAATCCAGGCTGAGACATTCCCTTCAGCAGTCCACTGATAGATGAAATAAACACACTCTTACTCACCCAGGTTGTCTGCTCAGGTGTTATAAAGATTTGAAATACGCAGTACTAATGGGTGTATTTCATGACAGATGTGTTACCTCTAAGGAAGACAAGATCTCACTTATCTTACTACTAAAAAAAAGTGGGGGAGTATTATTCAATATAATTTAGAAATGGCACTACATAAAAGATACAGAAATTCCTAGCAAACAGAGTTTAGAATGCCAAAAACTGTTTTATCTTTGCCTGTTTGGAAGATCAGATTGCTTGTATGGCACCACTATGTATCCGTTAGCTACATAAAACAGGGATGACATCGCCACCTCCGAGTTGACACCGTAAATGTATTTTCCGTAACAGACTAGCACATCAAAATCTCATGTGCAATGCTACAATATTCTTACAGCTTATGGTTTACAAGAACACTATAGCATAAGTTCAAAACTGCCAATCAGGTAAGTCTCTGAAGGCAAGAAGATAAGGCAGACAGAAGAATCAGTACTCCAACGTCCCTCACAATCAGAAAATTATTTTAAAAAAAATTAATTTCAAGTGTAGGTCATTAGCATCACTTCACACTCCAAACACACAACATGAAAGATATCCCTAAACTACTACATATGTAAGAGGGTTCTTGGTATTTACTTTGTAATTTTGCGTGTATTGAATGCTAGTAAAAAAAAAACCCTCTACTGCATAAACAAAAAGACAAGCACACAATAAGACCCCTAACAAAATACTATGGAGGCAGGCATCATCCAGACAGATCTTCAACTTCCTGTAGCTCAGGCAAGAATCTCAAGCAACTGTAAACTGCAGAGATTAATAATTAGGCAAACTCACAGATTTTCATTTTCTTACAGTAAAGTTTAATGTCTCGAAGTAAAGTTAACAGGTTTAGAATCCAGAACTTAAACTTCCTACACTGCCAGCCTAAAGACTGTTTTCATTTTAAGTTTATTCAGAGTCTAAAAATATACTGGCATGCAACAACATGTTGTACATGGAAGCTTGCAGACACTGAATCTGCAGACTGAGCCACCAATTTCACAAGCCTTGAACAGTTTCAGGAGGTTACACGGGAAATGCTGAAAGAGGAAAAATTTACCCAACTGGTAAAAGAGCAACGGTCTGATTTCAAGACTCTACTACATGATCATGCTGAGCCTTTGAACTGCCCCACAGCTCCAACTTGAAAACTATAACCGAAGGCCTATGTATAGAACTCCTGCAGCCACAAGAAAGAAAATGAAGAAACAGCAGCCTGCACATTCAGCACTGCACTCTAAAAGGGTCGAATTGCAAGTCATTATAGCAAAAGATTATCCTACAGCCATCTTAGAATCAAGGAGAACTCAATGAAGAGACCTAAACTGTGCATGTCAACAAGTCTGGAAATGTGAATGTTTCCTTAACCAGAGCCTAAGCCATCCTGTTTATTCTGAGACCAGTAAAAGCAAGGCTGGGTAAAACAAAGACTTTGGTTCACAATGGCCAACAAAGCAACTTGAGCAGAAAAGTCATGTTAGAGGAGGTGAACTGTGGGAACTGAGGGTAACTGGGAAGGTGAAAAGGTAAAGTTTTAGTGAAACAGACTTCTTGGTACAATACTTAACTTTCACACACGGGTTTCACTGCTATAGAGGCTAAATGTTGGAGTAGAAGTTAGAAGGGCTCCTTCATCTTCTCACACAAACTGAAGAGGAAACTCCAGAAGAAACACTGTCCTTAGTTTGTAGTAGATTAAGTGTTCACATACCTAAAGGTTGGTAGCCCACTCTCACTCGGCCATACCAGGTGTGACGCAGCTTCTTCAATTCTTCTCTATCATGCAGTGGGAAAATCTGAACTAGAATACCACTAGTCAATAATCTTCTCACTAGAAGGAAAAAGAAAAACAAAATATCCTAGTATTCCTCCAAAAGACAGGAATGTAGCTTCACACAAACAGGTAACATTATATACTTAGCAAGCCTGAAGCTCTTTTGAAATAAACCTAGCATTTAGATCCTAAAAACAAATAAATTGTCTCCACATTAGTTAAAAATTATTCATAACAGAGAACAATTCTACTATTCCTGCAAAGACTGTGCTGTCCACTGGAAGAGAAAAAGTAGCCTTTTCACATCTAGTAAATATTCCACAGGTTTGCAACATAAACCACCGCAGGTGAAAACACAAATTTTTAATAACAAAGCATGACAGGTCAGAACTGAAATACTACATGTAGATTTGTGAGGAAAGGTCTTGCTCTTCCACTTGAACAAAGGCACAACAAATCAAACTGACACAGCAAAACAAACACTAATTATACTAATTATGGGAAAGATGCTAAAAACATTTTGAACTTACACTAATCATAAATTACAACCCATCTTCATTGTAAAACAAAATATTCCATAATTTGTATTTAACTTTGTTACAGAGAGCAATAATACCTGTATGGATAAACAACTCATAAACTAGAAGTTACAACCATAGAAGTACTAAAAATTAAAATAAATTCAAAAAGAGAAGAAGGGAGGCACTGGAAGTTGGTTGATACTTTTTTGCTGTTTCTCATTGGCAGCTACTTGACATTGCTAGAAAAATACCTGAGCTGTACAAAATATTACCAGTGGAAACTCATCTGACATCTATATTTATTTACGTTTCTTGAAGCACTGATACACACAGACCACTTTCTTTGGTGACCAATACTAATGAATGGAGACACTGTTACTAAAAGGACATACATATAAATAAACGAAATCAAAAGAAGAAGATAAAACTTACTTCCTTCCAACTATGAAATTTATAGCTCTGAAACACTATTTTGGTACTGTCCGTGCTGGGCCGGGCCAGGGCTGTGCCCCTGGAGCCGGGGGTCACTCCTCGCTGCCAGGCTGACCCCGTGCCCGGGCAGCAGGGCCGGGCACTGGGCCGGGGGTTCCCAGGGCTGCGGTTACCGTCCAGAGCCCATGCAGAGATCTTTCCCTGCACTCTTTGTTCTATATTGTTATACAGATTGTTACTGCTATGGTTTACTCCTTCTGCATCGTTGTATTAAATTCTCCTTATCTCAGCCCATGGGAGTTGGTATTTTTCTCCCTTTTCTCCCTCCCATATGGGGGGGGGGTGAGCGAGTGGCCACACGGTGCCCAGCTCCTGCTTGGGACTAAACCACCACAGGTACCAATTATATAAAAAAGAATAATATCAGTTATCACTATACATTAAAATTATCCAACTGAAAAGAACATAGGGCCAGAGTCTCACCTCAGAGAGACTCAGGATGCAAGGCCCTCTGTAAGTCATCTGGACCAACATCCTGCTCAGAGTAGGTCCAGCTTACATCAGGCTGCTCACGGCCTCATCTAGTGAAGATCTAAATGTCCCTCAGGTCAGAGTTACCACAACTTCTCTAAAATCCTGTTCCAATGTTTGATTACCCTCACTGTGAAAAGCACTTTCTCAAGCAATTGAAAAGCATTTTCATTTAAAATATGAAATATTACAGGAACATTAAGGGTTTTTTTCCACAATGAACAGTATCCTACACCAAAAACAATGAGTTAAAAGCAAAAAAATACATTACTTACCAATTGATTTTCCTGGATATAGCTTTGCCTGAGGATACCCAGGGATCATTTTTTCATCTTTAGCTCTCAGATTTTCAAGTTCATGTTTGATGATATACTGACATTCTGACATCGTAAGGAAATTGTGATTGTCATCTAAATCAGAAAGATAGTAGTATGAAATTGTGCAGCATAGGGAAAAAAAACTGGTAACTATTAAGAATTACCAAAATGAGGGGGTAAAAATAAGATGATGTGACAATTACTGCCAACTAACGTCCACTTTTTTGAAATAAACAACTCAATTTCAGAAGCTCTCTCTGACTGGCACATGTTGGCCACCACATTTTTGTCTACTCAGATCAACTAAGAGAACAAATCACTCAAGAGACAAACACCCCTGAAGAACAAAATTGCTGGAGGCTAGGATAGTACACTCTTGCCCTGCTGAAGGGGTACTCTTACCTAGGCACCCACTATTTACCAGTCTCAGAACACCTATACTCCTTTCTGCCACACGGTTCTTGAAGTATTTTTATAACAAAAAACAGTAAGATGTCAGGACAAATCTCAGTATTTCACACCAAATATAACAATACCTTGCTTTTTATTGCCCATACAACTTAATAAGTCATTTTAGACAATTACTTCTGATAAAAGCATAGAAATAAGGTAAAACAATAAGAAACCTTTTCCAAAAATCCTGGATTACTAAGAGTTACAGCAAAAAAAACTATTGTCAACCCCATCAATGTATCATGAAGGAAACAGTCTGATTTCCCTGAGGTAAATACCAATTGATTTCCCCCCCCCCCAGTTAGGAATAAGAAACTATAGGGATGTCCCTAAACACACTAAGTAAGAAGCTAAAACAGCAACACACCTCCAGTACAAAGAGCAAGAATATAGTATTAGTTAAATTGGGGAACTAGAAATATTAGTAAGACAACACAAGGCTGAAGAGCTTCTTTTGTAAACGACACATTCTTCACCTCATATAAGCATGGTCAACTATTTTATCCCCTGATCAGATCTGACAGAACTAAAATTGTATTAGTGTTTTCAAAAAAAAAAAAAAGGAAAAAAGACCAGGAAGTACAGCAAAAATAATCTTTTAGATTTACAGTAGCTGGAATTCCAGGTGCTACTAGAGAATCTGTTAGCAGTGACAGTCAGATTAGCATTAAGAATGCAAACACATGAAACAGAGAAATAAAACTTCTGCAACTAAACATTCTTCTCAAGCTTTATAAATTCAAGAAAGCGTGGTTACAAAATAAAAGATACTGCAACACTTAATGCAAACAGCAGCAGGGTTGAATAAACTAGCATCAAACAAACAACAAAACTCAACTTTATTACTCTTTTAAGCAGAACCAAGAACTTATATTGAAAATGTGGTGAAAGGCATCACCAAAACAAGCACATGAGAAGTATTTGCAAGACAAAGCTGGAATTCCAATATTTACGTGGAGAGCAAAATAAGTTCTACCACTGTACAGGAGTTAAATACCTTACAGGGTAGTACATTACTGTGTTGGCACCTCCTCAAAATAAAAGAGGGAAAGGAATGATTTCACTGATCGTGCCCTAATTCCACTCAATGAATTTAATTACTTCATTCTGTTTGATATGTAAACAGGGCAAAATGTTTCTGTTTTCTCGAGCTAAGATAATAAGCCCCAAAACTGGCTCACAGAAATTAAAATGCTATGTTAATTCGCAACATTAATTGTTAATCCTGGACTCATGTTTATCAACTATTTTTCTTCTCTTATTTTCAACAAATTATATTATATGATGTGAATTTCCGTAGGTAAAAGGAGTATTTTTTTCCTGGCTTGTTCTTCCCATTTCCATGCACTGTTATCATTCAAGAAATAGACCATGAAAGATTTAGTGATGTAATTGCTTTTAATTTTTAGCCACAGTTTTGCAATCACAAAGACTATTAAAATTGCTTACCTGCAAAATTTTTGAAAGTTTTTCTACTGCTGTATGTAAAAGCTCTCATTGAGTTATCATTACATTCCTTCACTAAACCCACAGTTTCAGCTCCCAGCAATAGCCTTAAGTGGGAGGCTCCAACCAGATAAATATTTTCAGCTCCATTTTCCGTGACCAATGGTTTAACCAACAGTTGTGCACCTTTAAAGCAAAGACAGGCAAAATAAGTAAGAAAAATAAGAATTCAAAACCCTAGTATTTTAGCATCCATCATATTTGACCTACTTATCAGGAGCGCTGATACAGGCTAGCAAAAAGATAATCAAAATCCAATATGAATTTATCAAGATTAAAATTATTCCTGCTAACTTAACTTGGTTCTACAATGTGGTACCAAGTCCTGTGGACAGGATAGCAGATGAGATGCACTGTCATTTTGGCAAGGCTTACAAGGGTCTCATAAGCAACAAGAGAAACGTGCTGTAGACAACTCATATAAAAACTGGCATCAAAACTATGTTGAAAGACAGGTTATCAGAGCTTCATTGCAAAAATGAAAGGATTCTAGAGTTCAACACACATGTGACCTTAAGTGCAATACTTTCATTAACAACAGGGTTAAAAGGGTTGACTTTTTACATTTTCATGATACCAGCATGAAGCTCTTCTCTTACATGAAATTAAATGATTTCAAAAAAGCTAAATGAAGTGGGATTGGCTAAACAATAATTAAACTGCATTACCCAAAAACTAATTTTCTGCACGTCTTTCTATTATGATGACAGCAAATTTGATTTCAAATGTTACAAAAGGTCATACTCTACTCACCTCCATGTGCTTTTTTGTCCACAATTCGTTTAGTGAACCATTCTATGGTTTCCTCTTTGGTGCCTTTTGCAAGCTCAATTACTACCAGAGGCCTGAAGTTAGACTCAAAAGCATCCAAGAAAGACCAGCTTTTTGCCATCTTTTGAGAGCTTGCTGAGTACAAAAACAACACCAAAACACCAGTGTTAAAAATAATATTTAGTACTGAACTAAAAACACAAAGCTTTATTATAGTGGGTTACATATGTCCCTGCCTAGCAAAGTGGCAGGTGTCCATTGCTGTGGACCTACTGAAAAGAGCAATTTGAAGTAACCTCTCTGTCCCTTGGCAAGAGACTACCTGTCTTTGGTGGCATTTAAGTAAGCATCCAAATAGGAAAATTGTTGCTATGTAAGCAAAGTAGTAGTGATAAGAAAGCAATAAATAAATTAAAACAAAGTAATAAGGAGAAACTATAATAATAATAATCAAAAAACCAGCTTGCAACTTCCTACAGTGGAAGCAAATGAAAACATTAACAGAAGAGAATATTAGTCAAGCAGATATCTAAAATCAATAAGTGTCTCCATCTATAGGATAGGTGGGCAGGAGACCTATCACACAGGCAGGCCAATGGCACACAAAGCACTTACATGACTTGCTGAACAATATAAATCAAGTGTTCTGTGAAAAACTCCAGCTGCCCAGTGTTGAGCATCAGCACAGCTTTACAAATAATCCAAATGACCTAAGAGAACCTTTATAGAACCACAGGATAATTTAGGATGGAAAAGAACTTGAAAATCATGGAGTCCCAATGCAAACCTTAGCACTGCCAAGTCCACCTAAGTGGCATAGGTCCCCCAGTGCCACATCTACACATCTTTGAAATACCTCCAGGGTTGGTGACTCAACCACTTCCTTGGGCAGCCTGTCCCAGTGCTTGACAACCCTTTCTGTGAAGAATTTTTTCCAAATATCCAATCTAAACCTCTCCAGGCTCAGCTTGAGGCCTTTTCCTTTCATCCTACCACTTGTTACTTGGGAAAAGAGATCGACACCCACCTCACTGCAGCCTCCTTTCAGGTAGTTCTAGAGACCAATAATGTCTCCTCTCAGCCTCATTTTCTCCAGGCTAAGCAACCCCAGTTCCCCCAGCCAAGCCTCATAAGTCTTGTTGACATTGTGCCTTCAACTTTTATATAACTGATTCTACAGAGATCATTGTGTCATGCTTCATAAAGCACCTTAGAGGTCTTAATACAAAAAGATAAATCTGGTAACTAACATATTTGATTTAAAAAAGTAAAAAAAAACACTAAGGGGAAGATCTGGTGGGAGTTTTCTGCCATTAACTTTACTGAAGACAGAACTTTACCCACTGTCTTTAAGCAGCTTTCCCCCTCTTCTTCAAAGACTGAAACTACTTAATTTCTAAGTAAGTTGATCTAAAGATGCAGTTCAGCTTTTGTGAATTATACTTACATGACATCTCCAGTATTTCATATAAATTAGCCTACAAACTAAGTCTGTAACACTGTAAAAATACACATATCATAATAAATAAATCTATTTGCTTCTGACTGGCAAAAAAAGCTTTCAAGCAAAACTTCCATAGGATCTTTTGTTAGTTTCGCTTGCAAGTTCACTTGCACCCAATCCTGCAGCAGCTGGATATATAGCTCTGAAACGCATGTATGCTTTCAAAAGAAATATGATGAGATTAATAAAGTATTTCAAAAATATTTCAGATGCAAATGCACACAAAAAAAAACCAAATCAAAGGAAAACATGATCAGGGACAGGGCACTGTAACTGTGATTATCAATAACTGACTACACTTTGGTGAGTCACTCCACCTAACTGCATCACTTTCCTTAAGCAGGTTTTACTTTTTTTTTTTTTTTTTAAGGAAATGCCTGCCACGTTGGTCATACCGCAATTCCTAATGCATTTTAAAACCGAAAAGCACTATTCAGGATCATTGTGCTTAGCATGGTGACGAAGTAAGATTTGTTACTACAGAACAGGACTGAAGCACTCTTCCAGCTTTCGGTGATTTCCTACGCCACAGAGTGGCTAGTTCAATGCTCAGCACGGATCCTACGGGATGTAACTTGGCCCCTTCTTCCGTACCTTTACACAGTGCAACTTACGACAGACCCAGAGGCGTGGGGAAGGGACCCAAAGGGACTTCTGAGGCTACAGCCCCAGTCACGAAGTCGCTCGCTGGCGGCCCCGAGCCCCTCCG